ACTTGACCTCTCCGTGTGTCTCTCAGGGCTTTAGTTTTGTTATTGCAAGTGGTAGATTATACAAGGAACTGCTAAAACTTGAATCCAGCCAAATGTGCTCCAGGGGCGCAGCTCCTTGTGATGGCCTTTGGGGGGCGCCAGGAACACCACCTGTCCTATGAAAAGCCTGCGGGTGCTCCAGTGGTTCTGTGAGCGCTCCTGCTCTGCACCCAGTGAAGGAAGGACTACCTTCCTCGTTTGTGGGTAGAGGAGAGTGTTGTTCCCTCCCAAAGAAACAGTGGCTTGGTGGCTGCTAAAGGATGACACGGATGTGGAGTGGGTCACGGCTCAGGGTCTTCAGAACCCTACTGGTGACATCCTCCCTGCATTCACCGAAGCCGGCAGCCCCGGTCCCAAGGATCTCCTAGAACCGCTGATCTGCTTTGCCTTCTCTTGCTTACTCTGGCCTCCCCCACTGTCCTGGTATGTCTTTAGGCACAAGGGTGCTCCTCTGACCCCGTTGAGGAGTAGATTCGATCTTCCAATTCTGCCTTGACTGCTTGTCACTATGCTCTTGGTTCCAGCACTGTTGGGACTGCTGAGTCACTCACAACTGCAGGTAAGAGACAGACTCTGTTTTCTAAATGTGGAGACCCAGACACGGACACACACACCAGTTGTTCCCACGATAGGGAAACAACGTTACAGCTGGTGGCCTGGGAGGGGCACTGGCACAGGCTTTGGGAACAAGGGTTCAGCCTGCCTCTGTGGCTTCTGGGAAGGCTCTCATGGTGCAGTTTCCTAAAGCCGGAGCCCTAGAAATTTAGGGAATAGCAAGACAACATCTTTCACTCTCAAGCGTTCCTTGCCAAGTGCGCTGGCTGTGAGGCAGTTACTAGAATGTGGGAGCCTGGTAACCGGGGTTCCAAGTTCTGTAGGCGTCAATTATCAAGAGGTGACTTCCCTTTCTGGAGTCCCCTTCACTGAGTCTCCCTCTCGAATCACAGCTGGATAAAGATTTCTGGGCTCCTGACTGTTCTGTTCCCCTGTACAAGCAAGACCATACCTTTACTTAGGGGTTGTCAACCCTCCTCCCTCCACAGTCCCCTGGGGAAGTCTGGTCAGCCACAGTCCCAGACTTGAAACAGCCTGTGCTCAGACTCAAGCCCGCTTCTTACCTCCTCTGGATTCTGGGTACGCCACTGTGGAGATGGCTTATCACATGGTCCGTCTCTTGTCTGCACGATGAAGGTTATTCCAGCTTGGGCTCCCTGGGGATGTCCACAGTCACACGTGGGATTCTGCCTGTAAAAGGGGTGGAGCGCCATCCCAGGTGGGCCGTGCCCGCAACCTCTACTCCTTCTTTGTCACCTCCTGTGTGGGGTCTGGGAGGGGCCAGGCACTTATACCTTCCAGTGTCAAATGATAAAATTCTTTCGAACTGCTCTTTTCCTTGCTCCTGATTTGTAAACACTTAACTCTCATCTTTAGGTGCAGCCACGCTTTGTTGACCAGCTCTCTGAGCCAGTCATTCCTCCCCAGTTCAACCATTTTTTTAATTTCACTCACATCAGTTTTGTTAATAGAACTTGGTAATATGTAGTCCATATGCAACAGATCTTTTATCATAATATGAATATATTATTTTTTCCTTTCATGTTGCTACAACACTAAAAAGCATATTATTTTTTTTTTTTCCAATTTAGGCTTTATGACACAGGAGTTAAAACTGCAGTCTTTAGAAACAATAAACCCAGGCTCCAGTCGGGATGGTGGAGTAGACAAATGCTGTACTTGCCTCCTCCCACAGCCACATCAAAGTTACAACTAAACTGCAGAACAACCATCGATGAGAACTGCCTGAATTCTAGCTTATCTAAGGATACACAGAAGAAGCCACATCCAGACTGGTAGGAGGGGCAGAGAGGTAGAACTGGCCAGTCCCATGCCCTCATGTGGCAGTTAAAAATCAGGAAGGCTACCTCAGCTTCGTAGGTGCGCCCTGAGGAGCAGGGGCCCCATCCCCGCAGCAGGCCTCCCGGCCCTGGAAGAGAGGTCCCCACGACTTCTGGCTGTGAAAGCCAGTGGGGACCATGGCTGAGGGAAATGGGGGGCTTCTGGAGTCCCAGGCATTTCTCTGAAAGGACTTACCTGGACTCTCACTCTGATGTCCAGTCCTGGAGCAGCAGCTCAAAAGGTACCAGGGACCATAGGAACTGAATTGTCTTGGCTTCAGGGCAAGGGCTGAGTGGCCAGCTTCCTCCTAGTCAGAAGGGCTGGCATTTGTCAAAGCCTCCCCTTGCAGCACAGGCAGCTGCCACATCTGAGTTTCCACTGACCTAACACTGTTCGCACTGCCCTGGTGATTCCCCAAGACCCCACTCCGCCCAATTTGTGGGCCCACACAAGCCATTTCTACCACACAAACAGCCTGTTTTGCCCTTGCTTCTAACTTTCCTAAAATCTCTCAAAGATTCACAGACCACAAACAAGCAGCATCTGGACTTAGTTTGCAGCTGACCCTCTCCTAGGCCCCTCTGAACCAAGCACAAAAGGTAACCATCTGCAGATCACTTTGTACCTCATACCAGGTAGCCCCTGGCAGGTGGCTGGTCTTGGCCTGCACCTCCCAAGAGGCCTCAGAACCAACACATTCAGTGGCCAGCTTCAGACTACACCAGAGCACCACCCAACCACCTCCACAAACAATACATCTAAAGGCCAGACTTGCCAGGCACCAGAGCTCTGCTAAGGTGAACCTTGCTCCATAGGGTCAGCCCTGCAGAAAACTAGTCACGGCCAGTCCTCACTACTAATCAGCATGGGGGTCAATCTGTCCTACTGATGTGCCAGCTGCAATGAAGGCTTAACTGCAACACGAGGGCATGCACACCCCATACAAGGGACATACCCAGGGAACCCAACTCAGGTGACCAGGGAGACTGCATAACTGGGCCGGCCTCCCAGGACACCTACTACATTAGGCCTTTCTACCATGACTGGGAGAAGGAGCGCCTCTACCTAATACACAGAAACAAACACAGGGAGGCAGCCAAAACGAGGAGATAGAGAAACATGACCCAGTGAAAGGTGTCTTGACCTATTTCCTCAATAATAAAATGTAGATGATAAATCTCTTCACAGCTTTGGTGAAGCAGTTCAAAGAAAAACAAAATACGTGTATGTACCTAGAACATGAACCTGGCATACAGGAACACTCAATAAATTATTTTCTACTACCCCAAATTCATCCCTCTTGTAATCCCACATCTTGAGTCTACTCTTGGTGCTTCGGTGTTATTTTTTTATACCCAAATTTCTAGCTAATATTTTTATGCCCATGAACAATCCTTATCTGCTTCTTTAAAATCAGTGATTCAGGCCCTGGCCAGTAGTGCAGTTGGTTAGAGTGTCGTCCCAATACGCCAAGGTTGCGGTTTTGATTCACAGTCAGTGCACCTACATGAATCAACCAATGAATGCATAAATAAGTGAAACAAATGGATGTTTCTCTCTTTCCAAAGATGAATCGATAAAAAAATTAAAATCAGTAGTTCAAACTGAGACAATTAAATTATATAAAAAGTAATTTAATTGTTGCCATTGGCTTGTTGTCTGTCTTTTCCACTAGACTAAATTCCAAGCAGATAGGAGTTATGCCGATTTAATTCACCTTTGCAGCCAAGGTTCCTATTCTGGTTGGCAGATAAGCACTAGTAGAGTGAATGTTTCCCCAAAACAAAAAACAAGCAAACAAACAAAAACCCAAAAAACACCGTTCCTTTAAAAAAATTTAGATAATTAGTAACACAATGATAATGACAAGAATACTGATGGAGTTTTGGATTTTGATGTAGGAGATCCCACCTGAGATGCTGTCTACTCTTGTGGAATAAAATTCAGAAAACTAAAGACTCTAGTCCAACAATAAAAGGGCTCTGGGCTCTTAAGAAAGATGAAGAGGAAACACATGCTAACTTGCACGGGGGTAAGAATTAGAGGATAAAAGTTTTATTCAGAGTCCAGCTCTGACAAATCATGGCAAACACTGGGGGAAAAACTCCTCTGTGGTCTCCTAGATGCTGCTGGCAGGTTCAACAGATCCCCATGGAGGCCAGTCAGGGCGGTTTTGTGAAATGTGCTGGGCGTGCTGGATGGTACTCGGGAAGGTTTTAGCTAGTGCATGGGTGTATTTGTCTCAACAGTCAAGTTGACATTTACCATTTACACTATGTATGTAAGGAAAAGTGGCACATCACATTCTTGATTTTGTGGACGTAAGTGCCCAGAAAAGTTAAAGGAGCAGCATCTTCGCAGTGACGGACGACAGAAAAAGCCCGGAGACAAGTATGATGATGAGGGGTGCTCGCAGTGCTCGGAGGGGCAGCTCCCTGTTGGTTCCAGCACAGGAATCCGACAGCAGCTGGAGTGGAACCGGCTTGCAAAATATGACAAAGTCTCAAGAAGTCTAAGGCAGATGTGGGGTTCTCTTTCCCGTGCTCTGAAGGCCACATTCTGAATACAGCCCAGTGGAAGGAGAGGAGTGATTATGCCTTTATGACTGCCACATGCCCTGTCCATAATTTGATGACATACTGGAATGGATGAGATGCCACTGTCTCTTTATTGCTAACTGACCATTCTTCTATCAGAGGAACTTATTTTCAGAAAGGTATTTTAATTAATTGCTCACATTGCTCTAACTGGTGTGGTGCAGTGATTGAACGTCATCCTGCAAACCAAAAGGCCACAAGTTTGATTCCTGGTCAGGGCACATGCCTGGGTTCGCAGGCCAGGTCCCCTGCTGGGGGCATGTGAGAGGCAAGTGATGGATGTTTCTCTTGCACATCAATGTTTCTCTCCCTCTCTTACACTCTAAAGAAAATAAAATCTTTTAAAAATATATTTTAAAATATATTTTATTAATTATGCCATTACAGTTGTTCTATTTCCCCCCTTCACTCCCCTCCACCCTGCACACCCCTTCCCCCACCATTCCCCCCTTTAGTTTATGACCACGTGTCTCAAGTTCTAATTTAGATTCTGTATTTCCCATACTATTCTTGCCCTCCCCCTATTTTCTACCTACCATCTATGCTACTTAAGAAAATAAAATCTAAAAAAAAATTTTTAAAATAAATAATTGTTCATACTGAGTACCACTAATATTTAATTCTTTATTTTAAAATTCTAATCATTTAATTTTAATTGTATTCATTATCTGCTAGATATGGTACATAAAATGACTTTCCATTTACAGTAGTGATATATAAAGTTTGTATATGAAGTTTACACAAAATGTTGCTTTAAAAAGAACCATTGAAAATCACTGCAATGAAGCCAAAGCAACAGTAAATGGTTATAATTCGAAACTTGGCTTTTTAGAACTACTCTTTTTGTCTCCTTTTCTCTGACTTTATAGCTAGCCCACAGCAAGGCTAAGTCGCACACATGTATACAAATCTCGTTTCATTAAGGTCTTGGTGAATTATGTTACTGCATTATGAGGAATAACGTCTAAGAAGATACTGTATGTCTGCTTCACAGGTTACTTACTACCACTGCATATCCAGACTGACTGATACACCGTATTTTGCTGTTTATAATGTGCTCCCGTGTATAATGTGCACCCATGCCTTTGGCCTAAACTTTGAGGGAAAAAAAATCTCTTAATTCAATTATTTGCTTATATTTAGATACTTGTTTTTTGTATTACAAAGGAATTTATTTTTGAACATATTATGGTACAAAAAATTTTATGTAACAAATAATCACGAAACACAAGACCAGATACAAGGTATTTCAGGTACTACCCATGTGTAATGTGCGTCCTTATTTTTCCCTCAAAAATTTGGGCAATAAAGTGCACATTATTCATGGCAAGATACGGTCTTTGTGTAATAGATATATAGCTCTCATTGTCAGTTCACCAATACCAATACTGAGTGCTCTGATTACCATTTTGTTCAAGGATAAATAGCCTCATTTAGTTCTTCTGGACTAATACAAACTAGAAAAAAGTTTATAAACTCATTTACATAGGACTTAAAAAATATTTTATTTACTTATCTTTAGAGAGGAATGGAAGGAGAGAATGAGAGAAACATCAATGTGTGGTTGCCTCTCGTGTCCCCTGCTGGGAACTGGCCTGCAACCCAGGCATGTGCCCTGACTGGGAATCGATCCTCGATCATGTGGTTTGCAGGCTCAGGCTCAATCCACTGAGCTACACCAACCAGGGGTACATAGGACTTTTTAAAAATTACAGTTGGTCAGGGCACATGCCTGGGTTGTGGGCCAGTTCCCAGCAGGGGACTCACGAGAGGCAACCATACATTGATATTTCTCTCCTTTTCTCCTTCCCTTCCTCTCTAGAGATAAATAAATAAAATCTAAAAAAAAAAAAAAAAAAGAAAAGAAATAAAATTACAGAACATTTAAAAAAAATACAGTTGGGTGTATTTCTAATTTTAAAACATTCCAGGAAAAACAGCCATGTTGCTGCAGTGAAGCCATAACCCAAAGCAGCAGCTGTGCCACATCCTAACTCTGCAGGATAAGCTCATGTCTGCTCTCCACTCTTCCACGGACAAGCACTGTTTTCAGGCTGCCACAGCTGTGCCTTTCAGTAGCGCAAAATGAGCCAGCTGGATTCAGGCGATTCTAAGTCCATCCACCGGCCTTCAGTAGTAAAACATTTCCATATAACTTGTTGCATGCTGACTCAACTCTGAATATCTGGTTTTACCCACTGGCAATTTGGTGTCTTTCTACTTCCCCATATGCAGAATAGAACAGTAATTAAGGAATATGACTTAATAAGCCTCAGGGGTTTTTTTTTTGGCTTTATGGGTTGTTAAATGTTGGAACGAAATGTAAAATAAGATTACAAGAAGGAGTAAACCTAAATGTTTGTTTATCAGTAGAGAGAGCACTGAAAAATCTGAATTTATTTTCTTCAAAACCAAATGCTGGGACACAGTTATACAGGGTGGGGTGAAAGAAGGTTTATAGCTATTCATATGAAAAATAATACAATAATTAATAAATAATACAAGAATAAACTCTGCTTCACGTACTGACTACTATAAACCTACTTTTGCCCCACCCTGTATTTAAAGACTAACCAATGTCATCACACATTCAATTTGATGGATAATTACAACAGCCACGTTACAAAAACCTTTATATAAACGACCTAGAGAATTACTCCTAAAATCATGCTAGACCAAGCCTGCCTGGAACAGATTAGGTACAATGTATACAAAGACATATATACCACTCTGTAGTATAAAATTTTTCAAAAAACACACAAAGAACATCATTTATAAAGAATAGCAGTATATATAAACACTCTTATAAAGAAAACAAACTCAGAAAAAAGTAATCAGGGTATTACTTCTTACACTTAAGGCAACTAATGTGCTAGTATGTCAAAGTCCTTTACAAAAGGAAGTATCTTAATAAATTCTAGTTCATTGTTTTTATGTATTACTTTTTCTTCTTTTTCTTTTCATCTGATTCCATTTTAAGCTTAACTTCTTCAGCTGTAAGAGCTCCAAGTTTCTTATTCTTTGCTTTCTTAACCTTTTCCTTGATGGCAGCCACATCAATTTTAGTTTCAGTAGGAGCTAGACAAATTAAAAACACAATATAACACAAAATATGTAATCTTTAGGTATTTACCAAATATAACATAAAGAACATGTATTTAGGACAATAACTTCAGAATACTGTTATAATTGGCAGGTCATGTTTAAAATATAAAACACCTGCCATCTGCCTAAAGGAAAGTTAGAAATTTCTTTAAAAGAAAAAAAAAATCTTAAAATACTTTAAGAGCACTGGCTGGTGTAAGAAACTGTAAAAATACATTAATGAAAGTATACATGAAAAGGGCATTATAACTTAGCTATTTCAACTAATTGCAAATTTAACTTTCCCAAATTCATTAGTTCAATGAATGACCTAATGTAAAATGTAATGTAAATGTAAAATTTTGTAAAAACGATAATCTGAAAGTATTTAGAAGTCCCCCTAATAGAATTTAACCATTTAATCAATGTCAAAGCTTGAAAGAGCAACAAAAAAATTGCAACATTTCCTTACCATTTAAAGAACAGTATTTAGAACATTAATAATTCACAAGATAAAATATCATACAAACTACCCAGCAACTCGAGAAGCAGAGTTAAAGGGCTCACTATAGTGGAATAGCTACATTTTTAACCCTAATAAACCGAGATGAAACTAGCTACTGAACTACCTTCAAAGTGCCTGACTGACGTATCCTACAAATTGGAAATAGAATGCCTGCGATACTTCTTTTACATAACTGACGTTCTATAAAGAATAGTATTTTTACTGCAGTTAACACTAACATGTAAGACACTATGGCAAATAGTCGTGCTATATCTGGCTGTGACCAAAAGGTCATGGGCAATGCTGCCAGTGACACCCTCCCCTCACGAAGCCACTGGCCACTTTGCAGTTTCTTTAGGAATAAAAAGCACAATGTTACTAGATGGAAAGAACATGCAAAGAGGAGAGGATGAGTGAAATGAAACCAGGAACAGAAGAGAAGGCACGAGTGTTTCCTCTAAGCATCGGTCTAATAGCCCCTAAATAAACCCTGCCATACTTTGTTGGTGTCCCTTAGCCCGAGGTGACGGAAATCCATGTTAACAATGCAGGATCAAACTTTAAGCCACAGATCACAGTAAGAGCAGAAAGTACAACTTCTGATAAGCTCTTTCTGAGAGACACGGTGGCAGAGCTCTCGGATCTCAGGGCTTTACTTTGATCTTTACAGAGTCACTGCACTGTTTACCTTTCAAAACAAAAGGTCCTTCCCACCCACCCAGAGGTCAGGAGAGGGCTAGCAGCCTGGGATGCTCTTAACGGAGGCATTGGCTGCTACTGTCCTATAAGTTACCTCAGTTGTCTCTCGTCTGTCGGACTAGTGATTGATGAAATGCTATGTGAATTAACTGAAGATAAGGTTATTTCTTAACACTCAAAGAGATATGGATAAATTCACAGAGGGTTTACTTCTAATGTAACCGACTTTACCATCACACCAAGAATTGGAAAACAAGCTTTACCTTCCTTAGGCTTCACGACTGGTTTTTCTTTAGGTGGAATAAAAGCTTTGTTTCTCTCCTCTTGTCTCTTAGTAAGAACTTCTGCCTGTTTAGCCTACATTATTAAAATATATGAATAAAATACAACTTATAGTTAAGTAAGAATTCAAGTTTTTGTGAACTTAGCAATTAACGTTATAAGCTAGACAGTCTTACCTTTATTGCTTCCATTTTCTGCCGCTTCTTTTGACTTGCCTTCAGAAAGTATTCACCAGTAGCCAATTCTTTATCGATCTGTCAAAATCAGTATTTATAATTATATTAGAAATAGTGCAGATACAGTCATTTCCTAAGAAAGGAATATCCATGAGGTAAAAACAAGGGGGTCAAAAACCTATGATTAATTCACTAAGGGAGTGAGAAAGAAGGAAGGGAACATACTCTAAGCTGAAGGGAAAACCTGCACAAAAGCACGGGGGTAGGAAAGTAGGCGATGTGTCTGCTGAATACACACAGGCTTTTTGTGGTGGAAGGTCGATGACTCAGAAAAGTGTAACAGGAAAACTGGAAAAATAGTTCTGAGGAAGCTTGAATGTGAGGTGAAGGAGGTGGGGCATGATTTAGAAATGACTGAAGTTTCTAAGAAGAATGAAGAGACCAAAGTAGCATTTTTCAAGGTATAGATAAATGGAGAAGTAATAAAAGCCCTGAATAAAGGCAGTAACATGCAAAATGAAAAGCAAGATTTATTAGGATTTGGTGACTAAGGAACACTAACTAGAGAAAGCTATAGCTCATTCATTCACTATATAGTCGACTGATAATTTATCTATCTTGCATGCACACAGCATTATTATGTCTAAAACAATGTTCTAAACTCTTTACAGGTGTAAGCTCTTTACAATTACTAATTCTCTTCTCATTAATAATTCTTTGAGATAGGTATTATCATTATCCCCATTTTATGCATGGGGAAACTGAGGCATGCAGAGGCTAAATAATTTGCAAATAAGTGACAGAATAAATCAACTGAGGCATCACTGTTTAAGGAGCGTACAGTTGTTGGGGAGAAAGACATGAGAATCACTGACCCCAGGACAGGCCGTAAGAAGCAGAGCAGGTGCCGTGGAAGCGCGGTTTAGTAACTGGGTCCTTCCCCTTTCCCCCAACCACCACTTCCTTCCTGTTTTCACATCCTTCCCTTTCCAGAGGAGACCTCAGGATCCAGCACCTCTGCTGTTGAATTTTCATCATCATTCTTTTCCCTTTGACCTTTCATCAAGCCTTCCTCGAAAAACTGCAAATATAGGGCAGTGGAGAAGACAGCACCCAGAAACAGATGGTTCATGCACTCAGCACAAAGAAGTAGCAGGAAGGGAAGAGTTTCCAAGGGAGGGAATAATTCCGCGAGACCCCTCAGGAGACAGGTGAAGACTGAACTAAAAGAGCAGGTAAGAAAGGATACAGATGGGAAACATGGAGGTGAGAGAAGAGGAAGGTGGAAGAATTCTTGCCCGATGGTCTCAAATATTTCAGTAAAATAAAATTCAATGTCCTCTGCTAGGAGGGTGCTTAGAAAATAAGAGGATTCACAGAACTGCCACAAAATTCTGAGGACCTATCAGAGCTTGGAAACATAAATTTGTAGTGGGAAGAACCCAAAGGTATGACTTTTCCCACCCATGTTTGGCAACCACATTATGGAAAAGATGTCACTGTAGGGCTGATCCGAGTTTAAGAGGAACAGAAGGAAAAGGGAGCAGGAAGGAAAACGATGATGGGCAAGACGGAAAAGGAAATTTTGGAATGAAAATGAATCCAGAAGACAGTGGATGAAATGAGAGGCATTCATAACTTGGAAAAAGGGTAATATTAGAATTTAAGATTAATATTAGAATTTAAGATTTCAAAACTGGAGCAGTCGTATAGCTCATGGTCACAGTACTGAAGATAAAGCAGAACAGAGAGCATTTTGGGCTAAATCGTTGAATTTTTTAGTGGCTACAGGGACCTAGGTGACACCGACCACCTTGACAGAGTTTACACTAACAATGTAAAGCCCCCACCCCGTGCAAGTCGCTCAAAATAAGCCTATTTACACTTACGTTCAGTTTTCTTGTCTCTACATACTTGAACACACACAAACACACAGCAATTCCACCTAAAACACTCTCAATGAAGTTTCTGACAAAATGGATTATAACAGTCCCCCCTCATGTAATGAAATTCAACATGCAATACTGACCTGACTTTCTGGCTGTGGTGGTGGGAATGGTGTATATTCTTTTTTAACAGTTTTTTTCTTTGGTTCCTTGCGCTTGTTTACATTTTTGTGCTTGAACTGTGGCAAAAATCTTTCCCAACTTTGTGATCTTAATTCAGAATCTTTTGCCAATTCTCTTTTAATCATTAAGGTCTTTAGTCATGCAACATACAAACAATGTAAAAATTTCAATTTCAGAAGTCATACATTTCTCAAACTAAGACATTATAAATATTGTTCTTATAAATCCTACCTTAGTCTCTTAAGTAGGATTAAAGCAATTCCATAAAGAAAAAGACATGTAATCTTGATTTTCACCCAAGGATCATAAAACCATTGGCAATTTACATTAAGAAATTGAGGATTGTTAAAATAGATTGAGATGAAAAAGACTAATTCAGCTTTTCAACCATTATTTCTTTAAACCTTAAAACTCAATTTAACAGCAGGGGAGCTCCAACACTCCCGGCAAGCAGGAAGCTTTCAGTAGCACCTGAAATATCACAGCGGAAAAAGGGCAAACTTTCTCATGATCAGGCGAAACCAATAGTCTCACGCTTTCTCCACTCAAATTCAAAGGTTTGAATTTTATAGAGATTAGAGGAGGCAAACCAGGCATTAGACGCATGACTTTCTTTAATGTCCTGATGTACCTCAAAATTGCTCTTCCACTCCAATCTAATAGAGACTTTTTAACTCAACCTCATTGTATCTAAGTGGGCCACTTAATAGATACCCATCAGAAACAGTTCATTATACCGTGGTTACATTTCCAAGTACAGTAATGAGCTCTATACACACAGGGATATGACAGATCTCTCTCAAAAGGCTGGCATATAAAAGAGAAAATGCAGAGCTATTTTGGGTAAACTAAATAATGAGTGTTAAATTCCTTCCCACCAAAAGAAAAGGTTTTAATGTAATCTGAAATATTCCAGGCTTTATTTAATAGAAAAAGGCAGAATTCTGAAAGACCACATCTTTAAATCTAATACATGGGGGTCACAATCTAAGAAAACAGAATCGGTATCATCCATGATAAATTCTGTAGCCCTCTGTACCAGAACTATGTGATGTATTACTTAGGAGCCCCAATCCTGGGCTCCTAAGCTTCCAAGGAAGTAACCACAGGAATGGGGTAGAATTGAGGGAGCTGAACTCCACCTCTAATTTACCCAGAATAGTTCTGCTTTATCTGTTTTGTGTATTAGACTTTTATAAAAATTTAATTTCGAGAAAGGTTTCTGTAGCTAAAAGAAGCATGATGATGACTATTATTATAGCGATATATAATTAACACTTACTTTAATATTATAAATTGGATGAATATTCTTCATAGTATCTAGGACTACTTTTCGAACCTGAAATTTGCGAAGAAAAATGAATTAGTCACTTATAAAGATTTTACTGAACTAGGTAGAAGACAGATGATTACTGTATTGCAAAATATATTGCAAAATATCCTACCAACCAGGCAATGGCTATCAAATTGTATATAACAGTTCCTTCAGCTGCTCTTAGTGGCTCCTAGATCTCTCGTAATAGTCAACCTCCCCCAGGGACAATAGTTACTCAACTGTACTGCCAGAATGTGACGTATGGAACCAGCACAACACTCTGGGACGGTGATTTAGGGGGAAAGAGGGCTGGATTTAGAGTCAGAAAATGTGGGCTCAAATAATGAGACTGCCGCTTTTTATGGGCAAATCACTTAATTTTCCTGTTCCAGTTTATTTAGTTTTAATGTGGAAATGAAAATTTCCACAGGCCTCAGTGGCCTGTTGTAAAAATATTTAGACTTTATAGAATTATAAAGTACTTAATGTAGTTAAGTTTTTTAATTGCCCCATGAAAAAGAGCAGGTAATTTACAAGCCTGAGGTCTAACAGAGTTCCATCAAAGGTCCTGGAAAGGAAGAAGCAAGACCTCATAGCCAGATCCAGACAACAGTATCAAAATGTTTGTGAAAACATTAAATAAACATTACAATAAATTCAAACAAAAGAAAATATATGTTAAAGAAAAAGAAAATTTGAGTTTGGTTTCTACTGGCTGTACACATTCCTGCAAATAACAAGATCTGTTCAATTCCCTAGTATTTGAGCACAGGAGACTACCTCATGTTTTTCTGTGTGTTACAGACGAAGAGGCACCTAAATACCCATTTAAAATTTGCAGGGAAAGGAGTGACTGCGTGCAGACCTTCTGACTGAGAATCGGATGTAATTGTCAAAGGTCGGCTATAATACGTTAGGGTCCAGGAGTGACTACTCCCTCAAATTCCAGGAAGCAAAGAGCATTTACAAATAGGTAATCAAACAAGGCACACTCAAAAAAAAATACAATAATCATAAAACAATATAACCAAATTATTTATTCTCTGCTGAAAATTAACTAAAGATAGTAAGTAGTTCTAACCTCTTTTAAGCCTCTAAATGGTCCAATGGCTGAAACCGTGTTTCCCTGAACCATAATGTAACAGTTTGTTAAGAGTTCCAGCGCCTACATCAAAAGAAAAGTTGAGATTCAGTTGAAATATACTGGACAACAAATGACAGAGGAAGACACTCAGGTTTTCTACTGATAATAAGTACCTTCAATGTGGATCCTTTGGGACCAATAAGCCGTTGTCTTCTTTTTACGAACCTTTCTTTATTTCTTACTAAAGAACCTATTTTAATGATGTCACACGCAACATCATCCTGAAGAATTCGTACTGCCTTTTGGAAAAAAACAAAGAAAATGTGCCACCAATATCCTTTACAAATGCATTCTTTTCAAAGCCCACAATGGTGTCTAAGCAGAATAATGAAAACTTTAAGAATGGAGCGGGGGAAGGAGGGAAGGCAGGGATGGGTGGACGCAGTGTTATATGTTGTCTCTAATGTTGGCACAAATAAAGCCAAATCTCTTTAATTGCAAACTTACCTGTTCAAATGAAACACTCCTTGCTAACAGTTTTATTAGGTCTCTGGCCCTGATGATGATGTACGGATCAAAGGTCTTCTTTGTTGTGCAGACTGTCATGCTGCCCTCGATCAGGTCCAGGGTTGCGTTAACGTGCTACAGAAGGGAAAGTGCAAACAAGCAGCTGTCTAAAAATGCACTCAATCTTAGATAATTATAGAGCCTTTCCTAATCTACCTATTAATTACTGTGAGTTAAGCTCTCTCTAAAATTGTATTAGCTCCCTCCTTGAAGAAGCTGGGTAGTTAATGTAAAGAATGTGTGATTACTTTCATCCCTCAAAATACACTGAAACTCAAACAACTGAAACCATTTATACTTACTTGGCTTTAGAATACTTTGTACTTATTGAAATAGAGATTAACTCTAGTTAAAAACTATGTATCTATCCAAGTGAGGCCATACTTAAGACCTGAGGTAAAAACATAAAGCTGTATGTCCTCCCTATCCCGGACCCAGCTATGATCCATCATCTGCTCCTTAGGGTGACAGAGGAATCCCCTTTACAACTTTTTTTCAAGTTGGTTGAATTAGCTAAATACAGACAAATTATCATAGGTTCAGAAAGAAGCAATACTTGGAAAATTATGTATCAACTCTCAGTAGAGAGCACCAGATTTCAACAAAGCCTGTAACACTGCTATTTTCTGATATTTGGGCATATTTTGAAGAATATTTCAGCACAGTGAATAATGGACTATTTAACATAAGGTTGGGTTGCTATGAGTTTACGAGAGTGAGAGTAAGAGCAAGAGCCAGAGAGAGTGAGGGAGACAGAGAGTCCAACCAGAAAGACAGGTATAGACAGCTGGAACACACTGTTTGAAGTTTGCCAAGCCGCCCTCATACCTAATGGGGACAAACAACTCCAGAGTAGTGCCTCAGTTTGAGAAATATATTTTATATTACAATCTAGCACCCGTATACATATACACACATATAAATGAACCAAAAGCTTCATAAAATGATACTTACCACATATGGTACATTCGTTTTTTAAAAAGACCTGTTATAGACACTAAATTGACTTCTAGATCCACTAACGGATTTCAACCCACAGTTTGAGTAACAAAAACAAACACTGCTCTTGGGCATGGCAGCAGTAACAAATGGGGAAGCTGGCACATCCACAGCTTTCATTTAAAATGAAAACTAAGCAACTCAAACTGTACAGGTGCATGGCCACTACCACTGCACACAGTAGGCATTCTGAAACTTAGAGTTCACAGATGAGTTTCAGAGAGTCCATGAAATCCCTACAATTTTAAAGGTATGTGACTTTTTCAAAGTATTCTATTACTCACAAAATTAAAAACAAATGGATTACAAGAAGAAAGCTTAACCAGGATATTTAAAATACCTAAGGAACCAAATTAACCAATCACGCTAGCTGGTGCTTTAAAAAAATAATCCACCAACATGTACAAACTTACTTAAAACGTATAACCATGAACAAAATCTCAAAGAAATATATAAGATATGCATACATGTTCATTCAGTGCTTTCTGCACCAATGGCCAGCACTCTTTCAAGTAAGCTTCTCTGTATTTTGGGAACAAAGTTGCGAAACTGCTCTCCTCCAAGAGTCCTCTGGGATTGTCCTCTTTGGAAAAAGCTGGTTCCTTCCAACCATCAGGAACAGTGAGAAGTTCTGATTCATCTGCAGGAAAAAATGTACACATCAGATTTTAACCTACTTTTGGACATTTATATGCATGCATTTATAAGCTTCCAGTACTCGCCTTGCACTTCTTCTTCCTATGCTTAAAAAAAAAGATCCTCACCTGGGGATGTGTTTATTGACGAGAGAGACAGAAACAAACAAACAGAAAAACATGGATCAGTTGCCTCCCATCTCCCCTGACCAGTGATGGAACCTGCACCCTGGGAATGTGCCCTTAGTGAAGACTGAACCCACAACCTTTTGGTGCACGGGATGACACTCCAGCCAACTGAACCTCCTGGCTAGGGCCCTCTTCCTATGCTTTTTAGATTGTTCAACAATCGAAAAACAGGCCTCTATCATTATTATCAATATACTATACTAAAATTATTTGTACACATTTCAGTTGCCTCATAAAGCAACGTTCCTCAAGGGAAGAGATCCTCTTGGATCCACACTAATCAGCATATGCTTGACAGATAATGGGTACTCAAGGAATTTCCACTGTAGTCCACTGTGTTAAGAGTTGAAGATTCAAACACCATTTTGTTCACAAGACTATTTTACTATAAGTAACCTTTCAAATTTTACTAAAACCTGAATATGTGTGTATGTATGTATGTATGTATGTATATACTGTATTTGCATGTGCATAAAATTTTTAAAAACCTTTATATATTTTTAGAGAGAGTGGAAGGGAAGGAGGGAAGGGAGAGAAACACCAATGTGTGGTTGCCTCTTGCTCACCCTCTACTGGGGGCCCAACTTGGCCTGCAGCCCAGGCATGTGCCCTGACTGGGTATCGAACCAGCAAGCTTTTGGTTCCCAGGCTGGCGTTCAATCCACTGAGCCACATCAGCCAGGGTGCATAACAATTTTTTTTTAAGTTAATACTTTGGTGTAAACTTTTGGTTAATAGCCACTAGTATAGGGTTTGGGGTTTTCCGAAGAGTTTTCATGTGCCTTACTTCTGTATACCTTTCAAGACAACTATGAAAGGTAGAAAAACCAGTATTATTTCTCCCATTTTATGAAAGACATTCAGCCCTGGCTGGTGTGGCTCAGGGGAATGAGTGCTAGCCTATGAACCAAAGGGCAAGAGGTTCGATTCCCAGTCAGGGTACATGCCTAGGTTGCAGGCTAGGTCCCCAGTTGGGAGCACTAGGGAGGCAACCACACACGGATGTTTCTCTCCCTTTCTCTCTCTCTCAAAATAAATAAAAAATAAATAAAATAAAAAAGACATTCAGTCCTCTCATTAAGACAAAATGCCTCTGAAGGGGCATAAATGATCTTGCATATCATTTATTAAAACTCCTGGTTCTGGATTTCAAGAGCCTCTTAAATCCAACAGCTATAACTTCCATCAGTACTATTCCAAGGTACGATCCACAGGCCTGCAGTGTGAACATAAACCACGAGTGTGTTAGAAATTCAATTCTTGGCCCTCGCTCCAGATCTACTGAATCTGAATCTCTGGGGCGAGGCCCAAGAATCTCTGTTTTAACAATCTCATCAGGAGATTTGTATGCACACTAAAGTCTGAGAAACACATCTGTACAGTCCACGTTAAGTACCCTAGTCAGACAAACCTGCTTTTGTTTCTCACACTCACATCCACTTTGCTATTTCTGGTTGAAATCACAGAGAACTAGCTAATCTTCATATATCATTCACTTCTCAGTATCCTAAAAATAACGCTCAAAATTTACTATGGTCATTGCTTAAAATGCACATCTGACCAAGTCCCTACTCAATTTAAATACTTCAATGGATATTAATTGAAAAACTGGCAAAAAAATACAAAGGAGTTTCACTATAGATGAAGTACAAATAGCCCCCAAATATGTGAAAAGATGTGCAACGTCATCTTTAGTAATAAGAAAAGTTCAAATTAAAAGCCCACCTAGGTACCATTTCATACTTACCAAAATGACAGAAGTTCATAATTTAGATAACACCAAGTGTTACTATACTATGTTTGTAGAGCAATGAGATCTCTCATCCACCTGAAAATACCCTACACTTCAAGGATTTCAATCCCATGTATGTAACCTAGAGAGACTCTCAAACACGTAAACCAAGAGATATATACAAAGATGTTTGTAGTGGCATTTTTTCAATAGCAAACAACAAGAAAAATGTAAATATCCACCAATGGTAGACTGAAAATGTAATTTAGCACATATTCATACAAGAGAACATCATATAGTAGTGAAAAGAAAAGACTAGAGCTTCAAGTACTGCCCTTGACTAAATAACAAAAACAAAGTTAAGCCTAAGAAGCAGGATACAGAATCATGCCTACATTCCTGTCGCATTCATATAAAATTCAAAAAAACAGGCAAAATCAAACCGCACAATTGCACAAATCTTTACCACCTTTGTGTAAAGGTGGCTAAGATTATGAAGAAAAAGAACGGAATGATTAACATGATTTAGAACGGTTACTTCATGTCTTAAGAAGAAAAGGAACATAATGATCTGAGGTGCCTGTAAGCGGTGTTGGGGTAGAGCAGTGCTTTGCTCCGCTCAGTGGTCTGAGTGCTCCTTTCTCACGTGTTGGTTTTAGTCTGAAAGCTGTACAGACACTGTACTCTGCTGTGTATGTTCATAATTAAAAACAAAACACCTTTAATAACTTTCTAATGCCTATAGAATGAGAGTTCGAGGTTTTTAACACTTTCAATAAGTATGACTGCTGAAGCCCTGGGCTATTTCTTTAGCCGCTCTTCCTGTCACTCATACTTAATAAAACCAGCATAAAACAATACAGGGGAGCAATTTAAAAGCAAGACAGTTTAAAGAGTAGGAGCCGTATCGTCTAATATTTTAGCATTGTAACAAAAAAGAATACTAAATCTTTCAAAATTTCTTCACGAACTGACAAACTAGCGTTCTGGACGCTCCAGTTATCTCCTTCTTATCACTATTATCTGTCTCACTCCTTCATTATCTGTTCAAATGCTTAACGACCTTCTACCGCATCCCTCATATTGTTGAGGACGTCCAGCCAACACCACCAACTCTTGCAACGCCCTAAAATCTCTTAATTCCTCATCATTTTACAGAAAACGAATTCCGCAACAATTTCATTTTGGGGTCCCTTAGCAAAAGCGATTAGTTAGGAACACGTGACCGACACCATATCTGCCAGACGATTTTCGTAGGTCCGGCAATAATACTAAAAACCAGCAATTACAGGTACACAACTCTAGATAACAGGCTCAAACCAGGGTTACACGTTCCCAGCAAGCGAAGCAACCAATCGCAACTAAACATCCAAACCCAGGCTTCGGTTCTCACAGACTTACCTTGATTCTCCTGCTTCAGCTTCTGGTTATGAAATTCTTTTTTCCCAGCCGTTGTAGCTTGCTTTTTCAATTTGGAGGACGCCATCTTTCAATCCCTCCCGGTGTTACGGGAAGTGGAACTGTCCTTAAATCCTTCCGGCTAAACTTCCTCTACTCAAAATAAGTGCCTCAGAACTCAAACAAGAAGATCTGCGCCGTCTCCGTGCGTGCCTGCACTAGAACCGCGTATTTTCCCAAATTATAGCTCTTCTTTTACGTGGCCAAGGGAGAGATAGAGGCTTCCCCCCCCCCCCCGGGCGCACTGCAACCACGGAATTCGAATGCATCCTGGGAATTGTAGTTCAGCACTGCGAGCAAGCAGGCGAGGGGTCTTGTGTAAACTTTCCCCTGACCACAGTCTAACTTCGAAGGACTGACTCCAGTGTTCGGCCGCAGAGTGCAACCTATCATTGTTGCCAAATATTTATATGATAGCTATGTGGTAGGCATTGGGAGAAGGCAATACTAGAATATATGGTTCTCAATGGCAGGAAGTGACAGTAATAGCTACCATCAATTACTGTGACATTACTTTGTGCAGGGTACTTTATGTGCATTATTTCTAATCCTTAAAACAAAACCAGGGTTATAAAGTGAGAAATCCAAAATTAAAACAAGATTGATAATTTTTTGGAAGGTAAATTTTCAAAGTTCTTGTTTCTGATGGTAGTTTCTCAGGGTCTTCGTATTTATTTTTTTAGCCAGAGGGACAGTAATTAAGCAACACTTCTGAAGTATTTAATCTAGACTAAGATCTCCCAAAATAATTAACCCCAGGCAACCCAACACTGCATATGGCTGACTTCAAGATGTGAAGTTCATCACTACTAAAACCCTTTATACTTTTTTACTATTCTAAAAGTTAAAAGACTCACTAAACACCTCTGTTGATGATTGGTCTCACTGTTGCCCTTTAAAATTTTTTCAGCAAAATAGAAAAAGTCTTTGAAAAAGTCCTCACATCTGTGACATGGGAAACAATGATCTGAAATCTACCCTTGTGTATCTCCTATAAAAGATTCTTATGAGGTACATGTTGAAAACAGATTGTTACTTAGGGACAGAAGATCCCAATACATGATTTTTGTTGTTACCCTCTGTGCCTTGTAAATGACAGGCAGTGATTTCATCCCTACAGTTTTACAATTTGCTCAAAAAGTTACAAATGCCAGTAATAGAACAAATATCAGGTGAAAGTTATAAAGTGTGAAGCAGTTCCTTCAGTGTTCCCAGAAACCCTATGAAGCAGGTTGTTATTCTTATTTCAGGAACTCAGCCACAATTAAGACTTCCAGTCCAGGCAGTCTGACCTCGTAGCTCTGTTGCAAGGAGGTCTGGGTTTTCAACCTCATAGCTTTTGGACTTGAGCTGCACCAGTAACCCTTCTCTGGGTCTTTAGCCTGCTGGACCACCCTGAAGATTTTGGACTTCCCGGAACTTCATAATCATGTGAATATACCCTTTCTATATCGCTTCTCTAGAGAATCCTGACACAGCGATTTTCAGTAGAGCAAACCCAATGGCTGATAAACATATTATGATCAACCTCATTACTACCAGAGACACATGTCTATACGCAATATTGCTTTTGACCCACCAGATTGGCAAAAAAGAAAAAAATATTAAAAAATGATAATCTGTTGGAGGAAAGAATTATCTTATACAGGCTGGTGGAAATGTAGACTGTTACTGCCTTTTTGCAAAGCAATGTGTCAATATAAAATATATACATATTATTTCATAATAATTTTGCTCCTGGGAAACTGTCAACTAGAAGTAAAGCACCATTTCATTAGGACATCTGTACAATTGTGTTGGTTACTGTCTTGTATAGAAGCAGTTCATTGAAAGGTACTTTGAAGCCACATTGACTAGTTTAGTGCCTGCTGACAGTATAAGCTTGGGCAAATTTGTTACCCACCCCAGTTCAGTTTCCTACAACGAAGATAATAACCATAACTAAGTGACTTTAAACAAGTGCCAAAAAAAAGTGCTTTGTATTTGGTACATGCTCATTAGGTGTTAGCTATTATTTATTTATAGTGGCAAAAAAAGCATCTCGATGATCAATTTGAGATAAGTAAATTGATGTTACCTTCATATAATCCTGAAATATTAAGCAACCATTAATAATAATTAATTAAAATATATGGAGAGAATACCTAGCATTGAGTGATAAAGCTAGATACAGGAAGATGGGATAATTATATATAGTGAAAATAATTATATAAAAATTACATATACATATAATTATCCTATTTTTATAAAGCAAATCAGTAATTTATTCAACAAATATTTGCTGAGCATCCATAATGTTTCAGGCACTGCTCTAAATACTCAGCCCTGTTGTATATGTTGGACATAATAATAATTATAATTATTAATTTGATGTATATGATTATATGTGTATGTGATTGTACAATGAAAACTATTTGGAAGGATATATTGACAAAAAAAAGAAAGTAGGAAAAAGACTAAACACAAGTGTTCATGATAAAACATTAGGTTTATGATCCTTTCTACGTAAAACTTTCTCTGTGTGTGCCTGCATAGGGAGATCTATGAAAAGACAATCAGCAAAAATGTTGACTATTACCTCTCAGTATGGAGAAATTTCAGAAGACAGCAATTTAACAATGTGAAGTCTAACAGTACAGCTGTAAATCTATCACAGTTTATTTCATTTTATTTTAATGTCCTTAGTAATCTGAATAAAAACACTTACTCAGATCTGCAAGGTTATTCCAAGAAATTGCACAAGTAACACTGAAAGAAAAATTGCCATCTCTACAGAGTTTGTTCACATAAACCTGGGTCACAGCAACAGCAGGTAGATCGATTTTGACTGTGACGTTCCCTCTCTGTGGCCTCTCATGCAGAGCAAGTTGGCCTCACAAGTTGGCCTCACAAGTCTCCTTAATTCCCACACAATTAACCCCAAGGCTATGGGCAGAGAAGTCAGGATGTGGCTTAACAATGCCAGGGAGGGAGTGCATTTATCTTTTATTAAAAAGAGAAGAAACACTGGGCAAATAAGCAGTAGTTTATTTTTTATTTAATATTTTATACTCATTTACCAGAGATAAAAATGATTTTTGCACAGCAATCTATTTTCTAATAAGCAGTCAAGAGCACGTTTCCTCAAATGCATAGAGCTGAATATTTTTTATTTTCAAACATACATAAGCTGCTTTCTATTCTAGTTGACCTCACAGTAAGCTTTTAAATCTTAAATCGACATATATCTATCAGCATCAGTAATCATAATAGTTACTATGGTTGTAAAAATAAGGGCCTTCTTAACTCCAGGTGATTGCATAATAAAATAGGGATCTAGTGATTGCAGTCAAGAAGAAATAACACAATAAAGCAGCCTCGTTCTAAACTAGTCATGTTATTAATATACTTTTAGAAAAATAATGTCAATAAAAGTGAAGTGTTCTGCACAAAAGCCTAGGAAACCTGGGAGTCTAGGCCAAGTTTGAACTCTGCATCTGATAGGTTGGTTATCTCCATTTTGTTTCGTTCTTTTTCTGGAGTTTTGTTCTGTTCTTTCATTTGAGCTGTATATCTTTGTCTCCTCAATTTGGCAGCCCCCCTGTGCTTGTTTCTGTGTATTAGATAGAGCTGCTTTGACTCTCTGCCTTAGTAATGTGGTCTATTATAGAGAAGGCACCCATAAATTGTGTGGGGTGGAGCCTTAGATAATCATCAGAGCAGGGCAACCCACTTCACTGCTTTATGGCCGTGTGGGGGGAGGGCTCAGAGAGGGGGCAATGACACTGCCTGGCTTCTGAAGATGTACCCAGCACTCACCCTGTTTCCAGTCACTTCACTTTTTCCCTATATGTGACTGGTGCTCTTCCAGGTCTTGCCCTGGTGCTGAATCCCAGAGCAGGTGTGTCTGCATAAATTCCTAAGTTCATGGGGGCCCTTTAAGAGGAGTCTCCTGAAAATCCAGCAGTTCATTCCACCACACCAAGCCCACTGGTTTTTACACGCAGAAGTTATAGGGATTTGTCTTCTTGGTGCTGAAATCCTGGGCTGTGTGGTCTGGTCTGGGGCTGGGGTGCCTCACTCCTGAGGTATCCCTCCCAAATTTCATCTACCACATGTGAATGTGGGACGACTCATTCAGCCACCTCTCGGTGCCACATAGCTTCTCCGCACCTCTTTGCCCCGTCTCCATGTCCCCATCCCTCCTACCCATCTGGATGAATGTGGCTTTTTTAAATGCTTGGTTGCTGGACTTCAAGCAGGTCAATTTTCTGACAGTTCAGGTTGATATTTGTTTTGAAGTCTAGTTGTAATTTTTTTTCTGTAGTTGTGTGAGGAGGTGAAGCGTGCTTACCTACACCTCCATTTTGACTGGAGGAGACCAAATTTGAGAAACACATTCAGCCAGTCTTGGACTGTTTCCTGCTGCGCACCAGGATGTTCCATGTGTCATTACCGTGGTGGGTGCTGGGATGACATACCCCTGCAGGATAGCCATGTCTTCCTGCGAGGACACTCATAGCAAACTCTCTGGAAGGGAAGAGAGGGTGTACTGCTTTGGCTGCTGACCAGCTGTTTGAGCTTGGGTAGGCAGTTCTTAACCAGCCTCTCTGATCTGGAATTGTGAGGTGAGGGAGTTGAGTTAGATTACTATTCCTCAAACTTTAGCCAACCTCAGGATCACTTTATAGTCAGTAGGTCTGGAGTAGGGCCCCAGGATGTGAGGTCCCGACAAAAAAGAACTGTCCAACACAGAAATGTTGATGCTTATTTCTGTGATTCTACTTCAAAGGGTCAGTAAGTGCTTCACTTCTAAGCAGGCATGCCATAAAGGCAAAGTTATTTTCCATTCTTTTTAGCTACTTAGGGCAGAACTTGCCTGGGATCAAAAGCCAAAGTTTCCAGATGGTTTCATTATTATGCTGGGCTCCACCGTGGTCAGTCCTGCTCAGTGTCCCTCACCTCTGCCTCTGTCATTCTGGAGTTCTGTTGTCTCATGCAACAGAACAATGCAACTGATACATGCAGTTGGTGCTTGGGGTCTGGAGACACTCATTACTGCTTGAATATTAGTCTCTCCAGGCTCCAGGCCTATGAGACATTAATGTAATATTTCATTGGGAGTTGAATCTAGCCTATTCTGCTCTTTTCAGGGCAATATTTCCTCTTTCTCTCTCTCTCTCTTCCTGATTGTTCTTATTGATAAGCAACAGCTTTGCTTTAATTTTTAGTATAGTATTGTT